AGCAGTCCACGCTAAATGCAACAAGATCTGGACAACATCCAGGCTTGGGCTATCAAGTGGCAAGTAACAATCATGCCAAACAAATGCCAGGTAATGGTAAACCGCTGCCCCTGAAATTCAACGGTGTTATCATCACTGAATCCCACATTGAGAGCATCCTGGGGGGGTTTAACATTGACCAGAAACTCAACTTGACTTACCATAATATTACAATGACGACAAGAGCAGTAAGTAGCAGTAAGTAACTCACTTTCTGACTCCCCAAGACCTGTCCACTATCTATAAAGCACAAGTTAGGAGTGTAATGAATTACTCCCCACCTGTCTGGATGGGTGCAGCTCCAACAACTCAAGAAGTTTGACACCATTTGGGACAAAGCAGCCCACTTGGTTGACAGCATATCCACAAGCATCCACTCCTTCCACCACCAATGGACAGATATCAGTCTTATGTACAAAATATAAGATGCACTGCAGAAATTCATCAAGTATTCTTAGGTAGCACCTTCCACATCCATGATGACTTCTAGCTAGAAGGACAAAGGCAGCACATACGAGGGAATACCATCATCTGTAAGTTCCCTTCCCAGCCACTCATCATCCTGACTAGGGAAATATATCACTATTCTTCCCTTGTCAGCTGGGTCAAAAACCTGGAATTCCCTCCCTGGGTCCACCTATAGCACATAGACTGCAGCATTTCAAGAAGGCAGCTCACCAACAAGGTCAACTATAGGCAGGAAATAAATGCTAGCCAGCCAGTATAACACACATCTCACGAGTGAAGAGAAAAAAGAATCCTGCAGATCATAGCAACCTGTGCTATGTCAGTTGGACTGTTATGGAGACATCAGTCTGCAGTTGAGCTGACAAAGAAAGGGACTGAGTATGATGCAGATGGACAAAAGTGTGTTGATTCATAAGTCAGAAAATGTTAAGTGGGTGAGAAGGAAGTGCAGAGGGCAGGACAGTGTTAGTAGTTTGGGAGGATCAGATGGATTAAAGCTATTGAATGGTCATGATGAGTGCCATACTGAGGTTGCAGTCACGAGTCTTGATGACAGCTGCGTGCAATGGGACAGTTAGAGAGAGTGCTGGACCACATGAGTGTGAGGGAGCAACAAACATTTCTGTATCTCCTGTCACACCATTCCATCTGACAGACAAGAAGAGGCCAATTGCACAATTAATGAGCTAAAGAGCGGAAGATTGTGTATGAAAAGTCAACATGAGTCATGCTAGAGCAGCCAGCATGAATCTCTCAAAAAAATGACAAAAATTAAGAGGAAATTCAGCCTTTAAATCCCTAAAATAGTTTTATTTATTTGCTTAGAAACTGAGCGAGTAAGCTTTAAACTCCAGGCATCTGGATATACCAGTACTGCATTTATTATGCAATTTGCCCGATTAAAGTTGCTTATCAGTTCATCACATTAATACAAAACCAGTTTTAGAATCTAACTGTTCAAAGCCAAAGCTGTTAAGTCCCCTCCAGAGCAGTCTGCCAGAATCTAGGGCAGCTATGTTACTTTTTTCAGATTATGATCCTGCAAAAGAGTCCAATCAAAAAGCAACAATAATGTTGGCGACCAGTGACAGACATATTTACATAGCAGAATATATATTTGATAGCTTCATTCCTAATCATTACCTTTTGTTGTCTGACCTCATGAAAAGCAAATCATTCGCAGAAGCATTTGTTTCAGGAGCTTGTCATCTTGTTCAACTGGCTTCTTGAAGGTACATGTATGTAAAGGATGGAAAAGTTATATCCTTTTTTAATGAACCATTATACCAGGAAATAATTTAACCAATTTTCATAGAATTCCTACAGTGTGGAAACAGGCCATTTGACCCTATAAGTCCACACCGACTGTCGAAACAGCATCCCGCCCTATCCCTGTAGCCCTGCATCTACCATGGTTCATCCACCTAGCCTACACATCCCTGGACACTACGGGCGATTTGGCATGGCCAATCTACCTAACCTGCACCTCTTTGGACTGTGGGAAGAAACCAGAGCACCCGGAGGAAACCCATACAGATATGGGGAGAATGTGCAATCTCCACACAGTCAGTCACCTGATGCTGGAACTGAACCCGGGTCCCTTGCACTATGAGGCAGCAGTGCCAACCACGGAATCACTGTGCCACCTTTTTATGCACAGTAAGATTCAATGAAGTGAAGAAAACGACCAGTTAATCTGTGTCATCTGATTTTAACAGAAGAATGGATTTTGCCAGGATAAATTAAATCTCAAAAGAGGAAAAGATTCTGTTGTGTAGTAACACTTTGTTTCCATTTTAGGAATTGATATAAATTATAATTGAGTGTGACTTTGCAAAAGGACAGTTCACAGAATGTGTATATCAATTGACTAGACCAGCATTTGTTACTCATCCCTAATGGTCACTATTTGTTGTCACTCTCTAATTACCCCTTCAACCCAATGGCTTGCTGAGCCATTTCAGAGGGCAGTTAGGAGTCAATCACATTGCTGTAGATCTGGAATCTTATATTTGGACCAGACAAGGTAAGAGTGGCAGATTTCCCTCACTGAAGGACTTTGGTGAACGAGATTTTTTTTTTGCTGATCAAAAGTGGCTAAATCGTCACCATTTAGGTCAGTTTTTTTTATTCTAGGTTTTTACTGAATTCAATTTCATCTCCTGTCATGATGCAATTCAAACCGATGTCTCAGAACAGGCATCAGGGGTGAGCTGGCAAGGTCCCTCATGGCTGACTGGTACAAAAGGTGAAGTCACATGGTTTTGAGGTGAGCTGGCAAGATGGATACAGAACTGGCTTAGTCATACGAGACAGAGGGTCACAGTGGAAGGATGCTTTTGGACGGTTATGACTAGTAGTGTTCCACAGGGTTCAGTGCTGGGACCTCTGCTCTTTTTAATCTACTTGGGTGATTTGGAGGAAAACGTAATTAGTAAGTTTGCAGATGATAAAGAGATTGGTGGAGTTGCGGTTAGTGAGGAGGATTGTCATGGGACACAGCAGGATATAGATCAGTTGGAGGCATGGGTAGGAAAATGGCAGATGGAGTTTAATCCAGACAAATGTGAGGTGATGCATTTTGGAAGGTCACGTACAGGTGGAAATTATACAGGGAATGGCAGAACAGAGTATTGTTATGCAGAGCATTCTGAGTGTGCAGCTCCACAGATCACTGAAGGTGGCAGTGCAGGTAGATAAGGTAGTAAAAAAGGCCAATGGCATGCTTGCTTTCGTTGGAAGGGGCATTAAATATAAGGATAGGCAAGTTATGCTGCAGCTTTATAGAACTTTAGTTAGGCCACACTTGGAATATTGTGTACAGTTCTGGTCACCACGCTACCAGAAGGATGTAGAAGCTTTGGAGGTGGTACAGAAAAGGTTTCCCACGATGTTGCCTGATTTTACCTATGACTGGGTTTGTTTCCACTGGAACTCAGGATGTTGAGGGATGACCTGATAGAAGTTTATAGGATTGTGAATGGCATGGATGGAGTGGAGCTTATCATTATCATTCTTTTTCCCAGGTTGGAGGGGTCAATACTAGGGGACGCAGGTTCAAGGTGCAGTGGGGGGAAGTTTAAAAGCGATGTGCGAGGCATGTTTTTCATACAAAGGATGGTGAATGCCTGGAACACGCTGCCAGAGGAGATGGTGGAAACAGACACAACAGCAGCATTCAAGAAACATCTGGACGAACCCATGAATAGGAAGGGAATAGGGGTATATGGATCCTGTAAGTAAAGACAGTTTCAGTATGGAAGGGCAAAATGTTACGAAGGTCCTGTTCTTGTGCTGTATTGTTCTTTGTTAATCTGGAATGTAGATTACTAGTCCAGTGACATTAGCACTACACCAACAGCTCCTCTATTCCCACGACAATGATAAAGCATTCATACTACAACAACCTATATTTATGCAGCAGTGAGAAATCCAAGGTACTTCAGAGGAGCATTATAAAAAAAATGACACTGAGTCGCACAAGAAGGTGATCTAAAGTTTAGTCTAAAAGGTAGGTTTTACGAAGTGCCTCAATGGAGATTAGTGAGATAGAGAGGAATAGAATTAAAAGGAGTGAACTCCAGAACTTGGACTGTAGGTAAAATGTAGGCACACCCCCACTAATGCCAATATTAAGTGCAACAGTGCATGATTTTCATGCTTGGATCAATAATATTTTGGGATTTTTAAGTGGAGAGGGAAAAATAATTTTTGGAATGGAGGTTCTACAGATATGGTGAAAAGTGAGCCACTGAAGCACTATCACAAATTAAAATAGCAGAAAAGGTTTAGTCCAAAATTAAATTTCTTGGGAGGTGCTTCCTTTGACCATTATACATACACCCAATTCAGTAGGAAGGAAATATAATGATAATTAAAGCTTAAATTTGTTTGGTGACACCTTTTCAAGTGCCAAGAAAGATTGAACCTATACTATCCTTGAATAGCAAGTTATTGGCAGTTTAAATATTGAGGAGTGTGTCTCATCATAGGTCTTTCATGTTTCATTTTTCTTAATGTTTCCTTTCCTGTTAGTGTGGTAGTACAAGTAATAGGATAGATTTTTAACTTACTTCACAAATGTAATATTTGAGTTAAAAATCAAATGGTTTTTATAATGGCCATTAAGTTGTCCTTCATGATTAATAATTGTTTTTGATAATTAAAATAAATATAGATTTGTATTGGTAGTAGCAAATTCACGTGCCACAAACAATCATTGCGAATTATTATTGTTAGATATAATGTTGAAATTTTAAGTACAAAAATAATTTAATCAGTGAATTAATTCTTAAACTTAATTTTTGGAATTCACACAGCAATTTTGACATATATGGTGGAGTAGTCAAGGCACTGACTGAAGAAGGGAAAACTTTCTTCCTTGTACAATGTGTAACAAGAACCTGTTCTTTCTAAAAGACAAGTCCCTCATATCTTGGCATGGTAAATGCCATGAAAATCAAAATTAATATCTTGTTTTTCTATTTATACAGATTATTGAACAACAACCAAATCAAGAGAATACCAAGAAAAACATTTGAAGACTTGGACAACCTGAAATACCTGTAAGTGTTAAAATTTGTGTTGTTGTTCTAATGATGTTATACATCATAATTTAAATCTATTTCAGTCCTCCGTATTGTGGTCATTGTGTTGATTTTGATTCTTGACCAGAAAATTACCCATAACTGGCTGCCTGATACTGCTGGCAGAAGGTCCAGTCTGCTTTGAAGGCTGGAGCTCATTAGCATGTTGTCAGGATAGGTGATATGTCAGAATATTGACCAGAAACTGAACTGGACTAGCCATGTAAATACTGTAGCTACAAGAACTGCTCAAATGTTAGAAATCTTAAAGTGAGTAACTCACCTCTTGAGCCTTCAAACCCTTTGCACCAGATACAAATCACAGTTGGGAGTGTGATGGAATACTCTCCACTTGCCTGGATGAATGTAGCTCAAACAACATTCAAGAAGCTTGACACCATCCAGGACAAAGTAGCATGCTTGGCTGGCAGCACATCCACAAATATTCACTTCCTCCAGCACCAGTACTCAGCAAGTGCAGCATGTATCATCTAAAGATGCACTTAAAGTTATAGCTCATAAAATAAATTGCTAGTTCACTGACATTACTACTATGCCGCTGCCTTCTGAACATATACACTTCGATCCCTGTGCTCCTGTGCTCCTTTCAAAGTTGTACCCTTTATATTCTAAAGTATCACCATGATCATTCTATCAAAATGTATCACCTCACACTTCTCCATATTGAACTTCAACTGTCACGTATCTGTCCACTTCACTAACTTGTCAATGTCCTTTTGCAGTTGTAGACAGTCCAGTTTATAATATTTCCAAGCCTTGTATTGTTTGCAAACTTTGAAGTTGTCCCCTCTGCATCAAGGTTTAGATATTTGATGTACATCAAGGAAAACAAGGTTCCCAGAACTGACCCTTGGAGATCACTATAAATCTGCTCCAACCTGAAAACATATTCATTAACTGTTAGTCTCTGTATCGTATCCCTTGGAAAATTTTGTGTCCATGCTGCTACTGTCCTGTTTATTCCATGGGATATAACGTTGCTCACAAGTCTGTTCTGTGGTACTGTATCAAAAAATTTTGGAAATACACTCTACTCATCTCAACACCATTACGCTCATCAACTCACTCTGTTACCTTTTCAAAAAGTTTAAGTTGTTTAAAGATGTTTTTTCCTTGAGAGATCCTAATTAGTAGCTATGTTTCCATGTGACTATTAATTCTATTCCACATAGCAACTATTTTAAGAAGTTTCCCAAACCAATAATGTTAAACTGACTGGTCTGTAGTTTCTGGGCTTATCACAGAATCCCTACGATGCAGAAAGAGGCCATTTGGCCCATCTAGTCTGCACCAGCCATCTGAACAGCATCCCACCTAGACACACACTTCCACTCTATCTCCGCATTTATAATGGCTAATCTACCTAGCCTAACCATCCCTGGACACAACAGGGCAACTTAGCATAGCCATTCCACCTAACCTGCAAGGCTTTGGACTATGGGGAGGAAATTGGAACACACAGTGGAAACCCAACAGACACAGGGAGAACTGGCAAACTTCACACAGTTATCCAAGGCTGGGATCAAACCCAGGTCCTGGTGGTGTGACGCAGCAGTACTAACCACTATGCCACTGTGTCGCCCTTGAACCTTTATCCTTGAACCGTTTTTGAACAGTGATGTTATATTTACAATTCCCCAGTCCTCTGGCATCACTGATGAGTTTAGGGAAGACAAAGATAATTGCCAGTGCTTCTGCAATTTTCTTTAAAAATTCTTGGAAGCATCCCATGAAAGCATCCCATCTTGGTACCTTATCTAATATAAGCATTGACAGCTTATTCCAATGTCACCTCCTTATCAATTTTAACCCTTCTAATGACCGATAGTACATTTGCTATATCTTTGCCCACTCATAACCCATCTATCTTCCTTTCTAACTACCTTAGGTCCTCCTTACTATTTCCTTACCTACATACCTTTTTGTCTACCACAAATTTAGCAACCGTACTTTCTGTCTTTATTCTAGTCACTAATGTAAATTGTAAAAAGTTGAGACCCCAGCACTTTTCCCTAGGGCACATTATTTGTTAAATCTTGCCAATCAGGAAATATCTCACATGTTTATTTTCTGTTTCGTGTAGCTAACCAATCTACTCATGTCAATATGTCACCCCTACACCAGGATCTTTTATTTTCTACATAATTGATGTAGCGTCTTATTAGGTTTTTCTGGAAATCTGTGTATAGCACAATCACAGTTCCCGTTTATCCACAGTATATGTTACTTCATCAAAGAACTCAACAAATGCTTAAACATGACTTTCCATGTTTAGCAACATCTGTGGTGAGAAAACAGAGTTATTGGCCCAGGTCAGTGACCCTTCTTCGTTAACTCTGCTTTCTCTCCACAGATGCTGGCAGACCTACTGAGTTTTCCCAGAAATTTCTGTTTTTGTTTCTGATTTCCAGCATGTGCAGTTCTTTGTTTTTTTTTATTTCTCTTTCCATGTTGACTCTGCCTGATTATCTCGAATTATTCTAAATGCCCTGCTATAATATGATAAATATTAAACCAACTCACCTTTGCTTTAGTTCTTTCTGTCCTCCACCATTTTTAATGAGGAAATTACATGCCATTTTCCAATAAAATATGCTGCTCTTTATAGCATATATCTCAGTCTGACATCCAGATGTTTGTGAGCAAAATAACTTAATCTGCGATTCAAATGCAGTTACCGCCTCTTGCAGATAATCACTTGGCCTGAAAGTGTAAGAATCATTGGCCGCCAGAATTAATGTTTTACATTGTCAGATATTTCCTGGAAGGATTCTTCAGGGTTCCTCTGGAGTTGTCATTTGGTAGAAATTCTATAGATTATCAGAGCATATATGCAGGTCCAGTCAGTATTTATAGGATGAATGGTGATAATGGTGGTCATGTTGTGAAAATGCAATGTACTAGAATTATAGGAGATAGGAATTTAACATGACTGCTGCTAATTGACTTTGCTGGTGCCATAGGATACCTCAAAGGACATTTCTTGAGTATATGATTCCATTATCTGGCCTGTTTTTTATCTGAAAACATTCTTGCCTCACTTATCCACTGATGTTATCAGCTTTCGTCTGACAGTGCAAGGGGTTTGCAGACACAACCATGTCCTTCGACACAGAATTTGCTGCATGTAGTGGCATTCATCTTTGCGCTCAGCTTTGTATCTGTCAATTCTCTCAGCCTCAGCAGTGGTTGTCTACATTAGCTTTTTCCTGTTTGTTGGACCAATCTTTGCAGTATATTTTCCAAGAACCTTTTCAGCAATTTAAGTATATACATCACCTAATTAATTACAGTATTTGTTGTGCTTCCACAAGTGTTTGCTAAGGAAGTCCAGACTTTTGCATCAATTATGAAAGAATGAATGGCAAAATGTAGCATGGGATTTATTTTTCACCAGTTAGGGAATATCCGATCAGCTCCTTAACTTGTATTCCTGCTATTTCCTGTGCAATGAAGTACTTGCTAGGGCTTCCAACTGTCAGTCTTCATCAAATCTGCTTCCCTCTAGTTGCTTTCCATGTTAACTCATGTTCTATGTAAGAAATTGATGAAGGCACTTCCTGGCTATCCTTGACCTCATTCACACTAAATTCCAAATGAACAAAGTTCCCTTTTTATTCCAATGCATCAGGAAAAACTATAAACCAATGCAGGGTAAGTGGAGATACTGATGACGGACTAATGTTGGGGATTTCTCATAAATGCATAGTAAACCTGTCACACATCGTTATGATGTGCTATGTATTGGACAGAGCATAGAATAAAGTGGATTTATGCATGAAAGAGAGAGTCAGAGTGGAAATGCTGAGAATAGAAAGAATTATACAATCAAGATATTTGAGAAAAATATTTTATAGAAAATGAGAAAGGAACAGATGAATGGTGTTGTAGTAGATAGCTACGAGAGATGATCTGGCACAAATGGCACATATATTGACAAATATTGAATATTAAAATAATTTATTTTGTATAATGTTTCTATAGTTTAATTCCTGATTTTTTTTTCAGCTATCTGTACAAGAACAACATTCGTACAATTGATAAGCTGGCATTTAAAGGGCTTATGATGCTGGAGCAGTTGTAAGTAAAATTCATATTTATGAATATTTTAGATTTTTTGTAATATTAGTGATATATTTCTATTACTTTTGAAGTCTTTGGCCCTGAAGTTTCTAGGAGTCTGCCTCAATCAGAAATCCTGAAGGTGAGTCCAGCATTACCAAATGAGACAGATACATGTAAGTGTTCTTTTGCAATGTTTGCCATAAAATGCCTGTATTTGTTCTGCTTGCAGTGTTCTCAGGCTCTTTTGCACTACAGAAGTGCAACCAGACATTTCAAGGAGCTTTACAGCTATTGAAGTGCTTTCCAAGTGTAGTGACTATTGCAGGAACTATAGCTGCCAATATGTGCAAAGTAAATTTCAACAAACAGAATTATCCTAATGAACACATCATCTATTTTGGTTTTGTGATGTTGGTTATTGGTAAGTATTGGTCAGGACACCAGCAATAACTGCAGTGCTCTTCTTCAAAATAGTGCCTTGCATTCTTTTGCATTTACCCAAGCAAGAAGATGAGTTTAGCATCTCATTTTATAGATGTCACTCCCAGCAGTGAATACTCCTTCAGTACTGCACTGGAGTGTCAGCCTTAACTATCTGCTGAAATCTTGGAATGGGACTTCAACCCAAAATCTAATGACTCAAAGGTAAGGGTGCCACCAACTGAACCACAGACAAATTTTTAGTCCTAGAAGAACAATTGTGTTCTTGGGCCTTGTTAAAGTAATCTGCTGTGAACTTAGTTACAGTATGTTAGGAAAGCTTTGATGTCTTTACTAAGCTTAGAATGGTACAGTTGCTTGCTATGAAATAACATTGGTTCCACTTGACTAATTAAGAAATACTCTCCAGGACTTCCCTAAAAAAGTTGTGAAACTCTCCTCAAATTGTTTCTTTTAAGTAAATACACCCATGATAAAATCAAATTTTCACCCCACTCCCTGGTCACTGATGTCAGAATTCAGGCTTTCCATCATTTCAAGCCCCAGAAAGTTCACAGCCTTTGTTTTTAACTGTTGTTTAATTAGTTTCTCCTCTCCATTTTATCTATAAATCACACTTAATGCAATTGTTCCAGTGAGGTGAAATACTGCATCAATTGATGCAATGGTATTTCTCAATTCGAGCATTCTCCAAACTCCGATCACTAACCCACAATTCTCTTTATTCTGTACAGATGCCAAACTTCCACTCTCAATATTACAGTTGCAAAGGGCACTCCCTCACAAGGAGGGTTAGTAGATGCAAAATTGGTCTCTGTAGTACCTGTTCTATGAACGCTAAAGATGCTGTTCATATGCGCATACGAACGCATGCACACAGACATGCTTACGCACACATGCACACGTACACGCACACATGCACACAGTGATATTGGTGAAGCAGTTAACAGGTACATGGCAAATGTGCTTCAGAAGTATCCAGGATAAGCAGACCATGATGCCAATAAAGAGGCAACACTGATTTGATGCCAGTATTGCCATTTTGAAGCTTAATGCTCCAGCCAATGCCCTCGCCCAGCTGAATATGTGTTTTGAAGAAGGAGCTCTCATTAGTGCTATTAAACAACCCTCCTCCACCACCCTCTGCCTTCTACCTTTGAGCCAGTTCTGTATCCAAATAGCATATTAACTATCCCTAAACAGTCCTTGCCTTTCCAAATACACGTAAACCCCATCCCTCAGGATTCCCTCCAACAACTTGCCCACCACTGATGTTAGGCTCACTGATCTATAGTTCCCTGGCTTTTTGTTACCACTTTTCGTAAATAATGGCACCACAGGGTGGCACGGTGGCTCAGTGGTTAGCACTGCTGCCTCACAGCGCTAGGGACCCATGTTCGATTCCACCCTCGGGTGACTGTCTATGTGGAGTTTGCACATTGTCCCCATATCTGTGTGGGTTTCCTCCAGGTCCTCTGGTTTCCTCCCATAGTCCAAAGATGTGCAAGTTGGGTGGATTGGCTATGCTAAATTGCCAATAGTGTCCAGGGATGCTTAGGTTAGTTGGGTTAGACATAGGAAATGCAGGCATAGGGGAATGGGTCTGGGTGGGATGCTCCTCGGAGGGGCAGTGTGGACTTGTAGGGCTGAATGGCCTGTAGGGAATCCATGATTAGCCAACCTCCAGTCTTCTGGCACCTCACCTGTGCCTATCGATGATACAAATCTCTCAGCAAGGGGCCCAGCAATAGCTTCCCACAGAGTCCTAGGGTACACCTGATCAGGTCCTGGGGATTTATCCACCTTTATGCGTTTTAAGACGTCCAGCACCTCCTCCTATGTAATATGGATATTTTTCAAGATGTCGCTATCTACTTCCCCACATTCTCTATCTTCCATATCCTTCTCCACAGTAAACACTGATGCAAAACACCCGTTTAGTATTTCACCCATCTTCTACAGTTACACACAGCAGTAACCCTGCTGATCTTTAAGGGGTCCTGATCTCTTCCTAGTTACCCTTTTGTCCCGAATATATTTATAAAGTCCCTTTGGATTTTTCTTAACCCTACTTGCCAAAGCTATCTCACGTCCCTTTTTTGCCCTCCGGATTTCCCTGTTAAAGTATACTCCTACTGCCTTTGTACTCTTCTAAGGTTTCACTCAATCCCCGCTGTCTTTATCTGACATATCTTAACCAAAACTTCAATTTCTCTCGTCATCCAGCATTCCCTACACCTACCAGCCTTACCCATCACCCTAACAGGAACATACTGTCCCTGACTCTGGTTTTCTCATTTTTGAAGGCATCCCATTTTCCAGCCAACTCTTTACCTGTAAACATTCACGACAATCAACTTTTGAAAGTTTTTGCCTTACGCTTTAACTTTTAGATCTCTTCTATCCTCTTCCATCACTATTTTAAAGCTAATAGAATTATGGTTACTGACCCCAAAGTGCTCCCCCCCCACCACTGACACCTCAGTCACCTGCCCTTGCCTTATTTCCCAAGAGTAGGTCAAGTTTCGTACCTTCTTTAGAAGTACATTCACGTACTGAATCGGAAAATTTTCTTGTACACACTTTACAAATTCCTGTCCATCCAAGGCTTTAAGAGTTATGGCAGGTCCCGTCTATGTTTGGAACGTTAAAATCCCCTACTCTAACCACCCTATTATTAAAGACCCTTAAGCCCTTACCCAACTGTCCATTGCCCCTTAGATTTCCCATGCTCACTCCATCAATATTGACTATGTATAGAACAAATGAGTCATGTAACAGTAGGAAGTTTTAAAATGCTCGTTTAAAGTCACCCATTCAAAATTCCCCATTGAAAAGATGTTGAAATTATTTCAGACGCCATTTCTGCCACCTCCAGCAAGATGCCACCACCAGGCACAAATTCCCCTCTCCTCCCTTGTCCGCCTTTCGCAGGGATTGTTCTCTCCAGGACACCCTGGTCCACACTTCCTTCTTCCCCAACACCCCCCCACTGCCCTAAGGCACCTTCCTCTGCAACAGGTGAAGGTACAGCACCTACCCATTTACCTCCGCCCTCCCCACTATCCAAGGATCTAAACATATCTTCCAGGTGAAGCAACACTTCACCTGCACTTCCCAGAATATAGTCTACTGCATTTGCTGCTCACAATGTGGTCTCCTCTACATTTGGGAAATGAAACGTAGACTGGGTAACTGCTTCGCAGAACATTTACGTTCTGCTTGCAAAAAAGACTTTCATCCAGCCCTGCACCTTGTTGTCTCGGATTCTCCAGCATCTGCAGTTCCTACTATCTCTGAACTACCTGTTGGCTGCCACTTTAATGCACCACCCTGTTCCCTGACCAACATCTCTGTCTCTGGCTACAGTGTTCCAGCAAACCTCAACACAAACTGGAAGAACAACGCCTCATTTTCCGCCTGAGGACCCTGCAGCCCTCCGGACTCAATATCGAGTTCAATAATTTTAGGGCCTAAATTCTTCCATGTCCCAGCCCCCTACCCAGCACACCAGGCCTTGTTACCACATGGCCTGCCATCATACACCATCTGTTGTTAGTCACTAATAGTCCCCATTAACAACTATTCACCCTCCCAGCCTGATTGTTATCAACTCTTTGTCTATCCAACTGCTCTTCTCTTTCTTCAGGCTCTATCCTGTCGTTTACTCCCCATCCCATCTCCCTCCTTTTTTACTGCATATAAACTGACATTTTCCCAGCCACCATCAGTGCTGAGGAAGGGTCACCGGACCCAAAACATTAACTCTGTTTTTTCTTTCACTGATGCTGCCAGACCTGCTGAGCTTTTCCAGCAACTTTGTTTTTGTTGTTGAAATTATTGCAACCTTATAAAGCGATCAACGAGACACTGCCACTCATACCTTCAGTAGCAAAATATTTACTCAACTTCACACCTCTTAATCTCGTTCAAAAAAAACTTAGAAAAACAAAACAAAAGAATAACTTGCTAAAAATTCAAGGCAAAGATTCTTCATGATGCTATTTTGACACTTTGCTATATACCTGCTTCTCCAGATTGCCTAAGTATGAATGCTTGGCTGAGCTGTGAAGCTCACTATATGTATCAGCTGAACAATTGTTTGTTTGCATAGGCTAATGTAAAGTGTTGACGAACAGGAGGCTGGAAGAACACAGTAAGCCAGGCAGCACCTGGAGGAAAGGAACAGTTGATGTTTCTGTGCAGATCTCCCCTCCAGGAAGCTGATACCTAAGTTGTCCTTTTCCCATGAAAACCATCTCTAATGTCTCTAAGATATGTTTAGTGTCAGTCCTAAGCCCTAAGCCAACTTAATAAAACACTAACGAAATGTCACAGTGCAAATTGAAACATCTCTTTATTATACATTACATTTTCACTCTTTTAGCCTCTACATGAATTCATTCCACACAAATATTTTAGTCTAAATTCTCCATTGCATTCTGTCCAGTTTGTATCTTGATAGGAGTGCTGGAAATTTACTCATTTTATGTGTCATTTCTATTTCATTTGGAAAAGCAAGATCCTCCCTGAAACAGCCAAAAGATTCCCTTAAATAGACAAATGTGGTCAGG